TCTCTGGTCGGCTTTCTGACAGTAACACCAGGGAAGCCAGGTGGATGCAGCTTGCTGACAGACAGTTTCACCCATTTGATGTCATCCAAGATGCCTTCCTTTGGGAGAGCGGCCGCAGATTCAGTAACTTTGCGGCATATAACGCTACTATACGCGAAAGTGTAAGCACGACGAGGAGTGTTTACTCCACGTGCCTTGGAGTCAACCCCTAAACCGCCTGTTTTCACCACTGGCGGTGGGACATTCCCTGTCTTTACAAGCAATGCCAAAGCAACGGCAGCGTTGGATTTCCGTTCTATTGCCGGCGTCTTACTAGTTCCTGGATCTTCAAGCCCCTTCGAAGTTTTACGAGCAGATCTAGACCGCTTCTTCTTTTGGTTCACTGGAGCAGGGGCCTTTGACCTTGCATCGCATTGAGTAGTTACCAGCACTTCGTCAGAACGGTCTGGTTCAGTGGCGGCCTAGACGGTCAGCTTCTTCGGAAGGTTCGCTTGTGCATAATTGTCAGACGACTTTACAACTGTCAATGACGGTATCTTTTTGGATGCCGTGGCAACTAATTCTCTAGGTTTAGCAGAGGGCTTTTGGTATTTCCGCACTATATTTTTCTTCACTTCGATCGGTTCATGAGGGTAGCTAGCAATGCCACCTGGGTTGGCAGGTAGGAAGTGCGACTTCATGACCGTGTGACAGACCCCAGTGGATGGATCGTCAGCGATGTTGCCGTCTATTGCAGTGTCTTCAATCGAAATATTTAGGGAGTATAAAATCAAATCCATTTGCATATCGAACGACGCAATAGAGGCGGGTTTGGATATCTCATTCTCAACATCTGCCAACCTTGAAGCCGGCGCTGAAAGTTTAGCACCGGTGATAGCCGGGCGAGTCGAGCTTTGAGCGCAGCATCCAGCACAGCTGAAAAGAAAGTGAACGCTTGATGATGGTATTTTGTACTGATCAGCTTGTAGGCCGATACAGCTTTCGTGAGACTAACGGCGGCAGACATCACACTGCATACCACCAGGTACATCTGTTACTGGCTCTGAACAGCTAACCTGTTAGCAAGCTGCAGTGAACTCATCAAACGAGAATCCATAGGTCCATCCATCTCGATGTTTAGCGAGACAGCCATGTTCACGTGGAAAACAGAGTAGAAGTACAACACGTATACAATAGTAAAACGACCGCAATAAAAGGCAAAAGCAGGGGCAAAACGGGCTTAAAACCGGGAACAACCGGAAAAGTTACCAGTAAGCGCCCAAAGAGGCCTTGGCCAGTACCACTTTACTCGATCCAAAATATCTTGGATCAGAGAAAAGGGAGTGGCTATATTTTAACACAAACTATTGGCCTAGAGGAAATTTGTGTTCCGGTACACCAGGCTAAATGGTGTTGCTTTCATAAATGGATATGAAAGAGATGTGTATAGGTCGCTTTGTGCTTAAGTATGTACAAAAATTGGTAGTTGGTGAGATTTATTAGTTGTAAATTTCGCTTTTATTCATCGCGATTTAGAAAAATACAAAAGCTACAATAATCAGACAAGGGATATGTATACCCGTTATCCAAGCAAGTAAGTTACTGCAAGCATAACCTTTACATACATGAAACAATTGCATTAACACTCGTTTGCTCCATAAAACAGCCGTTCACACTTCACTTGTATTTAAAATTTGCCTGCTTTCGATTATGCCATGAACTTCAACTACACCTGTAGTCATCACTTTATTTTTATCAAAACCGTTTTCACGAAGCAAATCCATATAGCATTCTCTTCTAGTTCCCAGACCTTAATACCAACAAAATTAAGAATATACTCTGCAGTCACACAAACTATCTTGGATGTTACCGAGGAGAATGGAAGCAAAACCCTATCCCGCCAATACAGAAATTAGCGCTTCCCCAGAGGAAATTTGACAATAGTCAAGTTTCGTTTCAAGCGTTTATTCGAACACCGTTTTCCACGTTATTTCAGCCAAAAAGCACGATCAGTATGGCACGCCAAAAATCGAATTACCGCGTGGTAAGCACAGGTCTTGCCAAAAAATATGGAACGCTTCACGATTTTGCATGTCATCCTTGCGCAGGGGCCATGCCAATCTTCTCTGTATCGTTCCAAGTTTAGTATGGGTACCGGATATTCTCTTGGACTGTTTGCATCACCACCTTGACCCTGACCGCGCGACGTTTGAAACTGTGCGTTTTCGACTTGGTGTTGGTCCTTCTGACGTACTGCTACTATTCAGTAGAGTAGTTTGACTATCTGGCTTGTCATACAAGCTTGGTGCTAGGGAGTATTAATGTGAGCAACAGCGTTTGAATAACCACCGAGAACAGAACCTGACTTATCACTTTTCCGTCAGAACCAAGTAAGACAATGCGAGCAAGGTAGTCTCTGCACAGTTCTGCTAACAAATTGGCCAAACCAACCGAGCCACCACCTGATAATACAGGCTTAGCCCTAACATTTGACTGCAGTGTAATCCTTCCAGAGCCACTAAAAGAGACACATAATAAAATTACCTCCCTTGAGCTCGAATTGAACGCACTCAAAAGCAACATCTCTGTATTAAGCAAAACCACAGCAAAAATGACGCCCCTAGCTCAGCTCTCGAGAACCACACAGACCAATAATGTGACTGAACTCAAAGTAGCAGGGGAACAACTTACACACATTGCTTATAACGTTTCCGAATGGGTTCGCCGTACAAATAATGTAATGACATTCAATGTCTCCGACAAAACCAAATTAACGAAGGTGAAGCACTTGCGCACCAGTCTCGGTAAAATAACTCCTGATTCAATCGAAATTAAACGTCTACGAAAGTCATCCAAATGTAAATCGTGCCCCATACTTAACATCTTTGGTGTCCAAGGACTGGCCAAGACGCTAATAGCAAAACGATCCTTTATGCGGGAGGTAGCCAATTTCGGCCTTATCTTGATCAAGCCAAACAAACCACATCTGCAAAGATCAGTTGCATCATCCAAAAACCTCCGCCTAAGCAAAAGGCGGAAGGTTCGCCCAACGCGACTGGATATGCTACCTCACCCCCAGTAGATCTTGACCTGTCTCAACAGCATGTGGACCCGAATGTGACAAAGGCCGGCAGCACTGGGCTAACTTCGTCCAACAAAGTGAAGATGCTAGGCCTCTCGGTAGTGCATTGTGAATTTGCGATCGAACAAGATGTGGCTATGCCAAATCGCTTTAAGACGACGGGCTTAAGCTCATCGTAAATTTTCTGATGTTTCGGAAGTCCCAAAATGTCGTCGAGGTAATCGACGACTTGCGGGGCAAGCGCGGCGACAACGCAGTGAAATTTGACGCTCTCAGAGTTAACGCCATGTAACGAAAATATGGACTCTAGCTGGTTAAACCTGGTCTTAGGGTTAGTATCACGGAAAGGCGGGATAGGAAAACGGAACGCACTAAACTGATGGTCAGGTGAATGATTAACCTTCATGGTGAAAAATTACGGAGCGTGTGAAAGTGAATGCGTTTTAAAAAGTAAAAGTAGAAGGGTAGACAGAATAATTTACCGGATCCGAAAAGTAATATTAGTACCGAACTCAAAAAACTAGTTTTTATTCGGGGTCACCAATTATAGCGCGTAGATCGTGCGCTATATATCCGGTACGCGCCTAGACGGCCAACCAAAAGTAATGGGTAGAAGACACAAAAGTAAACTAGAGAAGAAGTTTATTGGACGGGAGGAGCGTTAGCTAATGCTAAAAATAGGGCACCCAGAGAGAGCTAGCTAGGAAGAATGTCGTTGGCGTCGTGAGCGTAGACGGAACGTCGTTCGCAGTCGAGCCGCGCGCCAAAGGCGGAGATCGTTTTCATGTTTCTAACAAACGGGAACAACGTTCCATCAGGCAAACCGAATGGTTCCCTAATACATAAGAAAGCTATAATTTGGATACTTTAGAATAGTTTACACAGTCATACGGGGGAATCTCCAGGTCACAACAAGGTTGTTTTTACATATCTACCCGTTCTTTGTCTTATTGCTGTGCCATTAATTTGCCTTTATAGTACATTGTCGAGATCGTGCGTGTTGTAGCTGTATATTTACCCATGCGTGGTTCATAAAACAAGGTTCTTGACTTGACCTGACTGGGCACTCGGCAGAATAACACGGTGTCGTCATCCATGGCAACAGGAACAAGAAGAAGGAAAAGGAAGAGCCACGGTGACACAGATAAACCAATGTGACCACAAGGTTTCTCAGGTGCTACTCCTGTATTTATATTAATACATTATAAGACATACCTGCTTACGCACCTAACTATACTCCAGTTTCATTCAACAGCACAAGTCCTATATGTAAAATAGCAATACTATCTCCGTTCGTTTGTTCTCTTTAGGCGCCTTCGACGGTCGGTGTTTACACGCATACATTTTTTGATGTGCACCAAATATCCGGCCATGTCCAGGTTAATTTTGGGATTCTGTAACCTTGAGACAGCCCGTACAATTCAGTTTTTGACTACGGGCTAGATTCAGCCCGGGACAGTGCTACTGTACGGTCAGACTTTTCGGTATTTGGGTCAAATACCTCCGGACGGAAAATCAAAAATCCGGATACGGTTTACACACTGCACGAATATGAACAAGATGTACCACAATTTGGAAATTGTAAATGGGCTTCAAACATGCTGCTTGTGGCGTAGTTTTAAAGCTCACATATTTAAATATATATAAATAAAAACTTAGTTTTTAACTATAATATCAAATAATATAAATATGACAAAGACGTGTAATAAACCATATTTGGAAGGTCTATGTAAGAATATAAATATTGCGTTGCACTTAAATACATATCACAAAATCACAGTACCCTGCAAGATAAACATATTAATCGTAGAGACCGTTTTATTTTGCAATTATAAGCGTTATTCGTTCTTCTACTAATCGCATGTAGCGTAATTATGTTGTAATATAGGCATTTGAAATGAAACGGAGTCTTCAATCCTAAGTTCGGCTTCACGCTTACGTATTCTCCGGTTTTTATTGACCGTACAGTAGCACAGTCTGGAACAGCGAAGTATACATTTTGCTATTCTTCGTTTACAGGAAGAGACGACAGTGGCACTCAGGCATTCGTTTATTTGCTTTACAACACGATGCGTCTGTTTTCTCGTTTCGTCTAGTAGTGCTATAGCACTACACACCTTTGGATTGACATTGTAACGGTTCAAGTTCGGTTTGGACTGGAACAATAGGAGAATCCCGTGAGTATTTCATCTTGAGTGGATCGTTGATTAAGGAATTGGTGAAGTGCTCACTTATTGATGGATCTAAAAGGAAACACCCGTATCGCACCCTGGCCAACAGTTAATGCCCACGTATCCTGCCCTAGCAGTACCTGCTGTGATAGTCACATGAACTAAGCGAAGAATAGAAAAAGAATTCGAAGGTACAGAATAACAAAGCGCTACTGAAATAAGAAAACAATACCAATGCGTGAAGAGAAGTAGCGAAAAAAGTCGAGGCATGAAGATGCGGGTTAGTCAGGAAAAGGGAAACGTTTCGTGTTGCCACCCAAGAGCGTCAAGTTGCGGCTCAAACCCCTTTACCGTAGATTCCTTGTTAACACTTTCTGGAAGCATGTTCCAGCGCTCGGTGACTTGACGTGACAGTCGGATTTCCTCCATAATCCGATCGGACCGCGGTTTGTCCAGCTTTTAGAGGGTTGCCTATTCCGGGAGCCCAGAGAGCGATTCGAGAAGACGGATCGAGTTGCAGGGAAACTTTTATTGGTACTGTAAAAGAATCCCTGTTATCTACCTATAAAAGAACGACACCGTGGACGCTCTAGCTAGGGGAACGGATCAAGCACAACACACAGGGCAGTTGCGCGTTGCAACCGAAACGAGCGCCAAGCAAGAAAATGGCGGTGAGCAAGTAAAGCATTCGAACTTAGCAAGCAGTTCAACAAACCACACCGGTTGCCTAGGTGTACAATTATAGAATTTTGGTTAGAATTTTACACAAGCAAACCGGGGAATCTCCAGACTGCTACAAGCTTCAAGAAATGACCGCGTAGAACAGACAATCTAGCGGGATTGAATAGCCAAGCTAAATCTACACCAACCTTCGCAGTTAAGATATGGTAGATTAAGATTAGGTCTCCTCCAAACCTTCGGTGGTGCATTGAATGCATTCCGATACTAAGTAGACGCTCGGGGTACGTCCGTCCCCTTAATCCCTCAACTAACCTAGTACCCACCCGTAAAACCCTCTCTAGCTCCATTTTGTCACGGACGAGACGGCAGACAAGCCTGGACGCAGTATTCCAGATGAGGCCGGACGAAAGCCGAGAACAGTCTCGTAAAGATGCCGTCCGTCAAGACTCCGAAAGAACGTCGTACTAACCACAACATGTAGAAACCTCTGCTTGCAGCCTTCTTCCAGATGTCACCGGGGTGTAAAGCCGAAGTGTACGACGCCTAGATCAACCTAGCTAGATACACGGGGGGGGGGTCCGACCAAGTACTTCACAGGAGGACAACCTCCAATTCGAAGAACGGAGCACTTTGTCTGATTCATGGGCAAACCATAAAGTAGACCAGTTCCAAAACTTATCCAATGCTCGCTGAATAGCTTCGGAACCTCAGGAACAGCGAGAATGTTCCACGGCTTCAGGTCATCAGCAAATAGCAGCGATGGTAGCTCAAGCTTCGCGGGTAGATCATTCACATAGAGAACGACAGCGATCCAAGGACCGATCCCTGCGGCACGGCACTGAGGACAGACTGCGTAAACGATAGGCCACAGCCTACCCGTACACACTTCTGTGCCATCCAAGATGGTAGTCACCCAATGAAGGGCGCGGCCAGATACCCCGTAGGTTAACTTTTGCGCGCGCTTCAAATGGGGTACTTTGTCAAATGCCTTCGAAAAGTCGACGAAATGCACGTCCAGTGCGTGGTCGTTATCCACTGCATCCGCCTAATTTTCGCGAGCCACCAGTAGATTCGTCAGACGTGAAAATCCCTTCTGGAATCCCTGTTGTACATTGCTAAGTAGTTTCAGTCTACTTAGATGACTCTCCAGTGAATCCCTCACCAGTTTCTCGAGGAGTTTGACTACTACACTCGTCAGACTAACTGGTCTGTGATTTGCAGGCAGACTCCTGTCCTCATTTTTGTAAATGGGACAAATGACAGCCTCTTTTCATTCGGAAGGTAATGCAAAGCTGTCAAGCGATTTCTGAAACACCATATCGAGCGGTCCACTTAGTTCCGCAGCCAACTGATGCAACGGTTTCGGGTGAATTAAATCAGGGCAATAGACCTTAGAAGGGTTCAGCCGTTGTAACGGCATACACCACTACCTTTGCGCTGACTACACATTTCTGATTCATATGTCGAGTTCTGTAGTAAAGCAGCGTACTCGAATCCTCACGTTATCGTCATCTGCTACCTAGGATAAATTTGAATTTATCTCAGCGACATCCTTTTTGGTTTCCCGTTCCACCGAGGCGTTCCTAGTGAAGAAACGCATCTAAGCGACACTTGAAGAAAGCTTGACTGTTGTACAAACTGAGTTGGCCGATGAATGGCGAATCCGGAGTTCTTTGCTTTTGTTAAAAGGTGTTTCGGTTCAAACTCGACGGTTTCACTATTTATGCGATCCGACGGTACTCATGCATATGCTGGCTCCGACAGAGCTTGTGTACTTGATGTGCAGCAATTGGATGCCTTTTTACGTAAGGACGCGTTGAGAGGCATTATATTTTTCAGAGTTCCGGAGGTTCCTTGTCTAACTGAACTTAATGTGGTTGAAACGCAATTCTTTCTGCTGCTACATGAACCGTACCCTACTGGTGCAGCTAACCCTGATGTGATTCATCCGGTGCTTCTCCATGAGTTAGTGGGGGATCTAAACGGACCATTGACGGCCGTGTTTCTTAAGCCGCATTACCTTCCGAATGAAAGCACGCTATCATCTTTTCATTTTAAAAACGACAGCGAGATCCTGCTGGACAACCACAGCTAGTTAGCCTAATAAGCATTGCAAACTGCCTGAAAATCTTGTGATATTCGCTGACGGGTCATCTGAGTAAACTTAACCTACTCAGCAGCGCAAACACGGATTTTGGAAGTGTTTTCGTGTCTGCTGAGTTTATTGGTTGTTCGTGAGAGAATCACTTGACGCTATCTTAGAAGCTGAGTTTTTCCCGTGCGTCTGGTAAAGCCCTTCATTGGGTGTCCTCTTTAAGGGAAGAGAACAATGTGTACGCGTGGGTCGCGGACTATACTTTTCGCCAGTTGCTCTTAGCAGCGTCGTGCAAGGTTTGCTCTTTGGACCGCTGATGTTCTCCATCTATCTTATTGATCTCCCTGGTTAGCTGTGGAAATTGTGGATATCTGTGCTGGGTCCTGACACTATTCAGCATGCCCTGGATGTGCTCTGGAATTGATCTCCTTCGTGGCTACCTTCAATAAATTGGGCAGTGTTCCTTTTTCGTATTAGAGCAGCTTGCTCTTCAAGATACGTGCTCGGTGGGGTCGAACTCCCCTTGTCTCCAAACAGGTCGACCTAGGTTTCCTCGTCTCCTTGACTCGAGCGGCAACTGGAAGTGGGCCGCAGGTAGAGGGTTCCGTATGTTGTGGGTAATACGCCATTCGGAATCCTAACAGCCAATGTATTTGTGAAATTGCTCTTTTGTTCTGCCCCAGCTAAAATATTGCGTCCAGGCTTGTACGCCTTGCGTCGTCCGGGATGAATTGAGACTCGAGAGTTTTATGGGTGAATACCAGGTTGATTGAGGGGTTACGGAGACAAAAGTACAACGAGCGCCTACTTAATTTTGGCATGTATTCAATACAGGACTTGGAGAAGATCTGATCCTCACTTGTGGTATTTTAACTGTGATGGCTGGAGCAAACCGATCTTGACTATTTAGTCCATCCAGGTTGTATGATTTCCACGGTCATCCCATAAAGCTGCCCAGACCGCACTCTGACCGGAGTAGAACGGAAACTCGGTCATCGCGTCGAGTTATCGTGCGCTGAACTTCGCTTCCTAAAAATATGGTCAGGGTATGGAGCGCTAGTTGAATGTTCTTGGGTGGCAACACGAAACCATTCTCTTCTCTTAACCATATCAGTCTTCATACTCAGATTTTATCTTGTGCCTTCACTTATTGGTATTATCTGTCGTTCAGCAATAGCATGACGACATGGCCCATCAATTGTCTGTGATGAACAGGGTTTGCGAGGCGACCGCTGACTGGGATCGTCTCAAATCTGCCATAGGGAATGCTTTCGACCCGTGCTGTGCACCCAACTTGAGATGTCACAACTGTGATTGGATTTCAGGGATTGATCAGTTTGATCAGAGCACGCAAACAGGTTTCCATGGGCAGTGAGTTTCAGTGTGTTTGTTTACTCCCTGAAACGACTTCTGACAATGAGTCTTCGAAACAACTGGGAACTTTGGTGGATGACAAGGGCCCATGAGCTGGAGAAGGCCACTGCTATTGGGAACAGCCGAGTGATACTTCAGCTCATCTGGAATATGGGTCTGAGGAAGCCATCAATTAGCGAGACAGTAGCTGCGAAAGATGAACAGTTGATCCATTCTCAACGTCGTCGACTTGCGTGTTGGGAAGCACATTTTGAAGAGCAGTTCAACAGGTCTGCTACGACACTACCGCTTGATGAATCTCCTGAGCCGACGTTGGAGGTTTAATGTCATACTTCCACTTTGGAAGACATCCGACATAAGCTTTCCTTGCTGAAACGAATCAAGACCCCTGGACACGACGACCTTCTATCTTTGCTGAAAGTTGGTGGTAAATGTTTGCTGAATGAACTTGCCTCTAAATTTAACATGATTTGAAACATTGATGAAGTGCCTTCAGACTGTCAGCTATTGTGCTCATCTTCAAGAAGCATCAGTGTACTTTGTGCGAAAATCATCGAGGCATTAGCCTTGTATCCATTGCATCCAAACTCCTCGCGGATATCATTCTCCGACTTACTGGTCCTTTTGAGAAATGAATCTTTGAAAGCCACGCTGGATTTTACCCTGGTCGTTGATGTATCGACTAAATATTTACTCTTCGCCAAGTATTAGGGCAGAGACATACAAACGACCGATTATGCCAGTTTTCCTTGACTTGGAAGTCGCCTTCGACCCTGTTGACCGCGCCACTTTGTGGCACTGCCTATCCATGAAAGGCGTGTCAGCTATAGTGCTTACAATTTTGCAGTCACTCTAA